ATGTGTTGGCATGTCTAGAAGGATGGGATCCTGCTGTCAGAAGAGTGTGGGAAAAGATGCCTTCAGTCATTGACTGGAAGCTCGTGTACCGCCCTTGCCTCGACAAATGGGTCGCAGACTCCGGGCTAATTACTTTGATGGGCGATGCTGCACATCCCTTTCTACCCACTTCGACTCAAGGTGCTAGTCAAGCCATCGAAGACGGAGCCACCATAGCCAAATGTCTCTCAAAATGTGCAGGCAATATCCCCCTAGCCTTGCATACCTACTTCGAAATCCGACACGACTACGTTGCCGAAGCACAGGCGACTGGGATCAAGCAGAGAGAAATATGGCACAACTTGCATGATGAGGACAGCAAAGCTTTCAAGGAGGAATTCGACATCAACGCCACCATGATGCAGAATCTCTATCTTTGGAAAAACGATGCTGAAAAATTGGTCGATGAGAAGTGGAATGAGGTGTCGGAAATTGTCAAGCAGAGGCTTAGTGTTAACAGTGGTTGAAAGGCGCGGACACGAAAAGACTTTAGATCAATAGTCATCGCAGACAAGACCTTGTATCAAATATCCAAAACATAGCACCTGCTATGATGATATGATATTATTTCGAATAACAGTCCACCTAAGATTCATTCATAGGTTAAGTAAACTCGGGAAAATAACACTGTCAAACTCATCGCCAACAGACTTGGATTTCGACTTGACCTACGCAGAGGGATTAGGACTGGCCGGATTCCGGTCAAACCGTGCAAACACACTGCTGCAAAGCCAAGACATTAGCGACAAGCACTTTTCCACGCTTCGTACGACATAAGAACAGCGGCCCTTTGGAAAGCGCCCCATCTACGGATACACCTGTTGAGTCAGGCCTGAATCAGCACCGCCTACCCCGGGTCCTAGCGTCACGGATCCCCGCAACTCCATGTCCGTTCCTTCAATTGCCGAAAGTGCTGAAGACAACTTCCATCTTTCTTGATTCGCCAGTAATATCCCTACTTGCTCACCGCATCTGGGAGAAGAGACGAGGACGACAGAACAGACGGCATAGAGGCTATATTAGCGGAAATGAGTCGACAACGAGACAACGCCCGTTCGTCTTCACGAGAGACGAAGAAGTCGGCCTTTAGGCGGGGAGTTAGAAGCTGTGAGCACCCGTCCACCTCTCTTGATGACGTAAGAGCAACTTTCTGATACACCCTGAACATGAAGCAAGTGAAGATGGCCAAGCACAGCCGGGGCGCCCGCGGCCACATACGTGCACCTATTGCCAGAAAACATTTATCAGGGCGGAGCATCTCATACGACACGTTGCGTCACGTAAGTCTACTGGTCACCTCGTCCATCGGATCTTTCAGCTGATTAAATTGGGCCAGATGAGAACCGAAAGCCTTTCAAATGTCTGCCCTGCGGCGCTAGTTTTGGCAGGACAGATGTTCTACGTCGACATCAAAAGAAGTGCCCAGGGAAGCCTGCTCAAAGTTTACCGACATCACAACATGAAGAGGGCTACACTCAGGCCTGTGCAGAACATGATCCTCGAAAGTCACTAGACAATATTTTGATGTAGGCCGAGAAGTTAATTTGAGGTCCTGGTCATGAATACCTTACTTACATCGAACTCTCAGGTTAGAAGGGCGTTGCCAGCCAGTTGATCAGACTGAACCACAAAGAGATCTCAATGATGTGGAGAATTCGGGTGTGACCACTGGTCTCATTGACAGCCAAACAGACGAGATCAGTACTGCGAACCTGGCTGTTCCTCAGTACGGTGGATCCAGTGATGATTCTATCGTTGTTCGCCAATCAGGAGATGAAGATACAGCTGAGTCTGAGTTGAGCTCGCCCCAATCGAATGTGGATCAGAGTGCTACAATAAGCAAGGCTGATCTTGCTCTGGATACCACTATCGCCGCTCAGCAAGTTGACGAAACAGGTCGACTCAGCCAAGAAGCCTCTCTAGAGAACACTGAATCCACCACATCTGAGAACAATCCTGGCTCGGGGGCACAGCATGTCAATCTCTCCGACTTTCTGGTGCTCGGAGACTCATTCATATCTGAGATCCACCCAGACGATTTCGATTTGAGGGGCGTCACAGACTTGATGTTTGATTTCAATACCAACACCATCATCTCACCCCCTTCTGCAGAGACATGCATCCTCTTAGATCCAAGTCGGCGTGTAAGGCCAGTCTCGCTATTCTTCGACGCTCCCGAAAGCCTACCTCAGTACCAATCTTCCTATGACACACCTCATCTGTTCAGTTGCTCGGATGACGATGCCATTGCAGTCAACAACGCTTTCGCCAAGGCAAAGGGCACTACAATTAGCACTTCAGACTCAATATGTCTCAGTCGCAATCAGATTTCACGTTGGATCAACGCGTACTTCGAACACTTTGACATACATACGCCCATAGTGCATCGGCCGACTTTCATCCTTTCAACTACTCCAGGTAAGCAACATACGCAGTAGGCAGCGAAGAGGCTTGACTAACTAGTTGCAGCATCTTTGCTTTTGGGCATGCTGGCCATCGGTGGCTGCATTGTATCAGAGCATGGTCCTGCTTCTAAGGCCTATGAAGCTTCCTGCCATCTCCTAGCTCAGGTGCGTAGCTCAACCTTTATGTCTTTCGTCCCTCTGTGCTCGGTTCTCATTCTGCCTCCAGTACGAGCAAGACCTCTTGCAAAGCTCTATCTCAGATTTGTGGCCAATCCAGACTGCCCTATTGTGCATTCAGTTTGGGGCCTTTTCAGCCAACCCCCGGTATGCGCGACAAGCGCAACGACAGTTCTCGCTTGTAACAGATGTAAGTCAGGTGTCTTTGAACCACTGGCTTTGAAGTAATCTCACAGTCACCTTGTTCTGATGTTTTCAAGTTACTGCGCGCAGTAGAAGTTCAAGTTCGCGGAGTCCAGTCAACTCAGGACCCTGATTGGAAGGACTGGGTCTTCATAGAGACGTTAAGCAGGTCAGTGAGCGTCTGGTCCCCCACTGATGCAATACGATATTTAACTCCCTGAATTTATATGTACAGACTTGCAAGCTGGACTTGCATTCTGAACGCTGCCATATCGCTCCTCGACCCTGAATCAACATGTGTCGCCGCACCTCAAGTAACAGCGGAAATGATCGTCCCCTCAAACGACAGCCTCTGGCGAGCACCGTCAGCCGAAGAATGGGCCCACAACAAGGAATGGCAGGCGTACAAACCAGTCAATCTCGTCGAAACTTCGAGACGAGTTTTCACTGGCGAGTATCCCGCGGTAGCCATGAGCTCATTTGGACTTCTCACGTTGATTGGGGCTCTCGTGGCGAACATTTGTGCTAGAGAACGGTACTCTCCTGAAATGGCCCCCATCCTTGATCGTGAGTATTGTGCAAAGATAGAGAGGAGCCTTCAAGCCTGGGAGACTCTATGGCGCAGTCACCCTCACGCTGGAGGCTCGCAGAACATGAAGAGCGATCCCAAGATGACGGACTGTCTATGTCTGCTAAACTCTGCGTACCACCATCTTTACATGGGCCAGGAGCTCCAGATCCTGAAGAGAATCGCGAAAGAACCTCAATGTCATCTGGCAGTCCCCAATTTCCCCACTGAAAGGAAGGTTCTTGTTGTTATCAAGTACGCTACGACTTCTTGGTTGGCGGATACCGTGACAGGCATCGCTCATAGGCAGCGGAAGGCGGCATTCGAATTCGGTGGGCTTGGCCCAATGGTAGCATATGAGACTGGTAAGCAATCATGTTCCGGATCGTCATTTCAAGAGTTGAATTGCTGATGGGTGACATGTTCGTCCTTTTTTTCGCTTAGCGCTGATTATCTCGTGGTGGCTGAGTCTTCGGCAAAGTCTTACATCACCACCTTCTGTCTCTGTCCTAGAGGGGGAGAGAGAAAGCTTGGAAGCCATCGGCCACTTGTTTCAAGACATTCTGAAGGAACTAGATGAGCAGTGCATCACGTTCGATGGAGACCTTCCGGATCTACGTTCCCGAGCCCTGTTCCACTACCAAGTGTTGTTGGGGCAGTGGGTGTGGCCGTGTGAGTACTTTTGTTTTCCCTATCTTTCTCGCTTATCTATTTGCTAAGCCACGCTCGACGCGTAGACACGAATGCCATGAACCACGCCCTGCAAGCCCTTGCATCTTGAATGTCCCAGGGAGAAGCCTGACGTTTCGCGTTATGACGGCACGGCTCTCACGAAAAGCTTGGCAATGGGGTAGCAGCTCAATTCGTGGAGTCGCAGAAAGACTATGATGTGGGGTCGCGGATGCATCCGTAGTGAAAGACACCTTGGACTGGTGATTGGTCCGCCCGACTGGTTCCTGAGCAAAAGTTCCCAACGGTTTCCATAGCTATCATAAATACCCTTGCTGAAACATGGCGTAAAATCCATGAAATAGGTACCAGGTTCAGTTCACGAGCAATTTCGACGGATCGAAAAACGGAAACAATGAACGAATCAGCATCTTTGCTTGTCTCTCCATCCACCTGAGTTGGTCCGTAAGCGGACCGTCGAACTAACCTTGGGTGGTGGAAACACAAGGATCAAGCAACGGCTTCAGCTTGTCAGGGTGCACTAGGTGCTGTGTTGACAGAACAAGCTTATTTTCGCAAGAGAAATCATCACTCTTCGTATCGAGAAGGCTGAATTGGGTGACAGAGAAGGCTGTCGAATAAGACATTCAGCTGGCCATGGGGAAACAATCGGATGATATCGGTCTCAACACACCAGATCATCTCGTGGGCTGTGCTTCTAGCTTTCAGGTTACTGAATTCAGGTCATGCCCAGCATCAAGCTCCTGCCAGCATAGTCCAATTTGTGTATATATGGATTCTGCGACTTCAATGGTTCAAGTGCATGATATCTAAGCAGACAAGTCTTCTTATCATATCAATATAGTGTTGCATCTATCACTTGAGTCTCATACTCTGGACATCTTCATTGTTCTACATCTTCACTCTTTGTTTAGAAGCAAATACCTTTTTCATTCGCGATGGCATACCCTGAGAATGTTGGCATCAAAGCCATGGAAATCTACGTCCCTGGACAGGTCCGCATCTTCTTCTACAAATTCATACATCATCTATCAGAGCTAATATCAATCACTCCAGTGCTTGGACCAGTCTCTCTTTGAGCAGCACCAAGGCGTCTCAGCGGGTAAATACACCATTGGCTTGGGCCTCAAATACATGAACTTCTGCAACGACCGTGAGGGTAAGTCATCGCCCGTCCAGGGCACTCTTACTTCGGCCAGGCTCTGGGTCTGGCATCCTCTACATCAGCGATAGCTACTGACTAGCTTAGATGCATCTTCCATGGCCCTCACTGCCATATCTTCGCTCATGCGAAAGTACGACATCAACCCCAACTCGATTGGCCGCCTCGAAGTTGGCACCGAATCCTTGGTTGATAAAGCTAAGTCTGTCAAGACAGTGCTGACCCAGCTCTTCGAGCCTGCCGGGAACACCAGCCTGGAAGGTATCGACACCATTAACGCATGCTACGGTGGCACGAGCGCCTTGTTCAACGCTGTCAACTGGGTCGAGTCCAGATCATGGGACGGCCGAAACGCTATCGTTGTTGCGTCAGACATTGCCTTGTACAACGAGCCCGCCTCTCGTCCCACGGGCGGTGCCGGTTGTGTCGCCATGCTCGTGGGCCCAAATGCGCTGCTTTCAATGGAGCCGGCGCTCAAGGGAACCTTCATGACCCATGCCTACGACTTTTACAAACCTGATCTCAAAGCAGAGTTCCCTCTGGTTAATGGACATGAGTCGCTTCGGTCGTACATGTCAGCACTGGACGGTTGCTATCAACGTCTTCGTGAGAAGGTAGAAGCAGCTAACCAACGCACAAACGGACTTGGGCCGAAAACTGATACTAACAACCTGCTGAACATATTCAACTACATGGCATTTCACACCCCCAACTGCAAGATTGTGAGCAAGTCGTATGGACGACTGTTGTACAACGACTTCCGACTGGATAGTGACAAGAGCCGATGGGAGGCGACGTTGACGGAAGAGCTCCGCGGGCTCAGCTACGAGGAGTCTCTGAAGAGCAAGGAACTTGAAAAGATCTTTGTCACCCAGTCCAAGGATCTCTTTAAAGCGAGAGTTGAGCCCTGTATTGCCGCTCCCACTTTATGCGGCAACATGTACACAGCTAGCCTGTACTGCTCTCTCATCAGCTTGATCAGCCACATCGATCTCAGAGACAGTGTTGGGAAGACTATCGGCATGTTCAGTGTAAGTCTTGTAATCTTCATGGGCGAATATCTTGCTGACGAGAGACGCGACATTAGTATGGCAGCGGTATTGCCAGCACTCTCTATGGGCTCAAGATTACGGGAGATCTCAGCGAGATGGTCCAGAAGATTGATCTTATGAAGCGTCTCGAGCAACGTGAAATTTGTACGCCTGAGCAGTATGAGGAGGTGAGAGTGAATCTAACCCTGGGTTTTTGCGAGCCGCTACTAACCACCAATTCGCAGGCCTGCTTTCTCAGATTGAAGGCATATGGCGCCAAAGGCTATGAGCCTGCTGGAAGTATTGAAGTCATGGCTCCTGGAACGTACTACCTACAGAGAGTTGACGATGCTTACCGCAGGTTCTACGCTGTGAAGCCGTGAACTCCCGCTTATGGTACCCTCAGCTCAGGTCTTGGTTTATAATAAGACTTTAGTAGTAGCTTGGTTTAAAGGAGGAGGACTCGGCTTATAACATCAATGTAGATAGAATTCCAAAAGTTTCTAAGATAATTTCGATTAGGTGGCCTTTGTATTCATGCTAGCTTCAGATTGCAAGCCTGAAATGCATTACCCTAAAGCGAACGACAATGTAGCCGATGCCCACTACCCAGATTACCTAGCTTGGACTGCTTGTAGTGTTTAATTTAGGCCCCTTTCACCCACAGGCTTCCATCAGCATTTTGTAACTCGAAAGGAATCAGATGAAATAGAAGGGCTAGGCTTGAGGACTACGCTAGATTGAGTCTGCTAGTCCTACGGTTTGGGGCTGAATCATTAGCAACTAACCCGCCGTCGACGCAGTAACTCTAATGGTCGATCTGAAGACAAAGATTCAAGGTAGCCCGTCGGCTGCAAATTCAGGCCAAAGCACTTTACCTTCCCATAACAAACGGTCTTCCGAAGTTGTTCGAAGCTTATCCTAAGTGCTCACTTGAGCTGATCTTGCAGCTATTTATGTAAGACTAGAACTTGATATCTTCGACTCTCGCGTTGGTAATTTTCTTTGGTCCTTTCCAGATGTCCTGGCTTGATTCCGTATCTGATCTAGAGACATGCAGCCGCAATGCTTGTATACCGGCTGAAGTTAGTAAATAAGATAGATCTACATCTTTGGCTCAAGCTTCACTGAAGAGACGGATCATCCTTGCGTTTCTTTCTTCGGCTCTTGTAGAGATCCCTTTGCCGTGGTGGTTCCCTAGAATTAATAGCCAAAGCCGGTCATGATAGCAAATGACTCGGCCATCATTGATCTGCTACCTCAGATAGGTTAAGTAGGACCCCCATGCAAGCTGTCCTGTCTCAATCCCGGCTCTGCCTTCAGTGTTAAATGTCTTCTCAGCCCCAATCCCGATGCCGAAACCCCTCCCAACTTCCCAGTCCCTCGAATCCGTCTCCCCCACTGAGTGAAGAAATCTTGTGCCTAGATATCGAGCAGGCTACGCCGACGGCCATCTTCTCCAATGCCTTACCCCCGCGCGACCTTTGGCTCGATCAATATGTCTCGTGTTAATTACCCCACCGTAGCCACGAAATAAGCTTTCTGGTGCCACTTGCTTGCTCCATGCCGAATCAACCGGACCCATGCTACTGAGACGTCAACGTCGGTCCGTCGATAGAGCATGCAACAGACCCATTATGGGGGTTTAACAAGGGCAGGTAAACCGCTCGCACTTTGCAAATTCCTTCGCGAATAAGCTTTTCACATGCACTTCGTTGCAGTAAGGAACATGGTTTCTGTCCTATGAGCAGAGTTTTCTCGCCACGTAGTATCCCAGAAACACCCTCACGTCGTCAAGCTGGTGGTCATTGCTGGAACTGGGGTTCTTTGCAAGTACTTCCTGTTCTAGTCCCTCCGAGCTGTTGAATGCAACATAGCCGGTGGGAGCGTTGACTATTGCAGTATCTCAGGCAAAGTCTCTCATCCGTGTAAGCCGCTACCAAGGACTCAGGGACGGGGGTTAGCCAAGTCCTGCAAGACGTAGACTATCTAGATAGTCGATTCATCAGCTGTTGCGCACCTTGAATGCAATCAACTAATTCTATTTAATCTCGCTTATGTCTAGATCGCAGTTTGCCCTTAGATCGATGCCTTGGACACAGTTGGCGTACAATGCTATCGCTTGAACACAAATCTCAACCCCGCAACTCAGTTTTAGAGAGACAAGCTATGGATTCTTTTCAATCCGAATGCCAAAGGTCATGCTTTCTGAATGTTTCTTCGTAAGAGTCTAATGACTTGTAATCAATTTCTTGGCTTGAGAACAACATTCCAGTGACCAGTTGCAAACTGCATGGTAATGTACTGGCGGAAGTCTATGTCTTGATCCGGAACTTCCAGCACATCGAATCTTTGTAGGAGATTGGCGGCAACCATTCTCATCTCGGCCCACGCAAAGCTTTATCGACTCTATCAGCATAGTTGCTCGACAATAACGAGAAGCATTGTACTAAGACTTACTTGATACCAATGCACGAATGCTTGCCTCCAGAAAAGGGGTAATACGCGTCCATACTGAAGGCTTCGTTAGTACGAAGATTTTATTATGGGAAGGAAACCATTGGGACTTACTCAGGTGCGGGTGCCCCGTCTCTCTTGTCTTCGGATAGCCACCTCTCGGGCCAGAACCGTACTGCCTGGGGCCAGAAGGCCTCGTTGCGGTGAAGATCGCGGTATGAAGCCGAAACTACTGTGTGAGGCGGTAGATCATAGCCACAGAGGTTGATCCACTGATTGCCAGTCCGGCGGCCCATCTCCGAAGCAATAGGATGCAAGCGGAGGTTCTCCTTGATGCAGGCTTCGAGGTACTCGTATTCCTCCTCGTTGCGAACCGATTTGCTGGTCACAATCTCGTCGTTGAAGCCCTTGGACGGGAGAGAGGCGAAGAGCTTGGCGCGGACGTCGGGGTTACGGGCAAGCTCGAGAAAGAGACAGCCGATAGTGCCGGATGTTGTTTCGGAACCGGCAAGGAGGATCTCGGCCATTTGGTCGACAATGTCGCGGACAGACATGCTAGTGCCGGTGTCAGGCTTTTTGCCCTCTTCGATAAGGTGCTGGAGGAGGTCTCGGCGCTCAACGTCCGGAGTGCGCTTGCGTCGTTGGACTACGGCGTCGATTGCTGTGATCATCTCGGCGGGCCAGTCGAATTGCAGGTCGATTCCCAGGGCGCGGAAGAATTTCTTGACATATACAGTCTTTGTACAAGTAAGCACTGAGGGAATCAAGACATTTCGTCTGTAACAAAAGATTGACTTGCCTGGTATCGCTTGCTGAGACCATCGAAAATGGAGCGAGGGATTGACTTCCAAATCTTCTCGTCAACTCCATCTTCGATTAAGCTATTGGGATTGGTCTGTCCGAACCCCTTGCCGAATGAACACTCTCCCATGCTGTTACTCAAGTAAGAAGCCGTGCAAGAGAAAGACCAAGATGGCTGCGGAAGTATTGGCTTACATGTCAAGGGCCACGTTGTGAAGGTCGTCCATTAAGTCGACCTCGATACCCTTTTTTGCATAGTGTACCGCATCCTCGTTGATCTGTGTCTGGTACTTGTTGAGTACGTCACGAACGGTGCTCTTGAAGGACATCTCAAGGTTGTCAATGTAGTTGACCGTAAAAGCAGGGAACAGGAAACGCTTAAGGCGCCTGTGCGGCTCTTGGCGACTTTTTCCAACGACGTTGAGTTAGGCTCACGTTGCAAGTGCACATTGTGGGCAGAAAAAAAGGGAACGACTTACATCTCGCCAAATAGTCCGGGACTGAATTTGTCTCTGGAAATTTCGGCATACATGGCAACTTTGGGAAGATCCGTCTTGACCAAGATCTGCTTCATGGCCTCCTTGTCAGAGATCCAGACCTGTCGGGGGCCGAGTCGGATAATCGGCCCATATCTGTTGTGGCTTCTCTCTACCAACTTCCAGATGGTTCCGGTTGAGAAGAGATAACGTAAATGCAATGTTGTGAGAGGAGCATACCAAGGCCCAGGAAGTTTTCTCAGGGGAGACTTGAGAGATTTGATCTTCTGTTTGAGTTGAAGACCGGCGAGGACAACTACTAGGAAGTAGACGGCAAGTATGTAGGCCGACGCCATTGTGTCGCCGTTGTTGATCGTCTTGATCAGGGCAAGATGCTAGCGATGCTTTGTCAATGATTGAATGACTGGTGGATGATGAGATGACAGGTCAGAGACAATAAGAGAACAGAGGGACATAACAATCTTTGACAGGAAGCGGGCGATGATCTTCTATGACATGAGACCCGGAGCCATCTCCTCGGGATGATATAAGACGAACACACATAAGTCTGCAGGAGCTATTTCGTGATCTAGACCCCCCGCTAGCCCCGGTTCTTCCTGCTGAGAAGTTGCGCAAGCCAACCCAGACCGGAGGTTACGGTACGTGGCTGGATTTGCACAACAGTCAGAGGCTCCTTTGAATTGCACGACTCAGCTCAGATGTACATGTAGCCATCGTCAGCCTGCGAGGCTGTTGTGAATATGCTGCGCGCACTGTTTCAAGCTGTGTAAACTCTGTTATATTAGCTCGGATGATGGGAGCCCAGGGAGCTGGGCTTCCTGCGCTTTTCCTTCGGTCTGGGAACAAGCGAGTTCACCAACGTGGCACCCAAAAGACGACGCAAGCGCGAATCGGATGGTCCAGAATGGTACACACTCATTGACTGGGCTACTCCTTGGCTGGAAACCGCGTGTCATGCAAATTTAGTAAGCGGGAACATGGAGATAGGTTGCACTCGATCCCCAAATCTGATGTGCTTGGTATAAACTCTGTTCAAGTGTAATCCCATATTACTCATTTCCAGTTATCTCGCGGTACTTCCTTTCCTATTCAGGAAACCATTTGGCAAGGTCGCCTATTGCCCAAAAGTACTCATTAACTTTAACGCGTCTGTCATCACGAGAACCTAAAATACGAATATCTCACATCATGGTGAACGACAAGACTGTGCCTTATTCACGGTGGAGATGCAGTTTCAAAAGAATTCTGAGCCTTGGCCCTGCCATTTGGTCTAGAACTTTTGGTCTATTTCCCCTTGTCTCTAAACTCCATACGTGCTTCCGCTCTATCAAGCTTTGACTCTGCGGTCTTTGAGTCTAAAAATGTCTATGTCGTCTATGTCTCTTTATGTCCGTCTAAAGAAAACCGTGTTGCATTTTGTACAGCAACCACCCTCTATTTGGCCCATCTCATGGCGCCGGGGCAGTTGGGGTCGTTCTCGACATACTTGAGAGTGCCGAAAACGGACCAGAGCTGGCCGAGGAAGCTGCGGCCATCGTGGTTGTACAGGTCACCAAGGACAGGCTTGATGGCCTCAGTAGCCTCGTCAGCCTTGTAGAAAGGAATGCGACTAGGATCTGTTAGCGATG